AAAAGCAAGCCCCAATAGTTAGAACCAGCCGAGAGAAAAAGACCGAACCAAACACGAGAGAAAGAAAAAGAAAATCCCTGCTCCCTCCTTCTGGTTTGAAATATAAAAGTTCCGAATGGTGAAAATGGTATAATGCCCAACCTCACCGACAAGAATATAGAAGAAAAAGGAGAGAAGAAAGCAGGCTAAAAAAAGAGTAGCCAATATTGGCCTCTTTTCTCGATTGCTTGGTTTACTTTTTGCTTAGCTTTTTTGCTTCGTGGTTGTTTTATACACAAAATAAAAAGTGCTCGTGTTAGCCTTCGTGTTTTTATTATAAAAGTTTAAGACTTTAAGACGGACATGTTGACATAAGCATTTTTTTTGTGTTCCACATTGTTCCACACTTTCACCTTGCTTTTTGGCTGCTAAATGTTAAGACCGAAGTATAACATTTTTATTTCTTTCTTTTTCATAAGTGAAATATTAGCAAGGCATCTAATTGGTGTAAGGAGATTTTTTGTCCTTGATAACTCCACCCTCCTCCTCGACCGATTTTATAAGTTAGGCCGTTTATTTGCTCTTTCTTTTGGTATAATCTCTGGTATAATTCTTTAACTTGGAGCACGGGAATGCTGTGGATAGTTTGGATGCTGGGAAAAGTATAAATTAGTCCCTCAATGGCTCCGAAGAGTTTAAAAAGGCTGGTCATGTCCTTGCCGTGTAGTCGGATATAATTGGTGTGCTCGTAAATTATCTGCTCGATGGCTTGCTTTTCTCTAATGTAAGTAATTAGCAGTTTTAAATGCTCTTTTCAGTCAGAGTTTTTAATCTGGGTAAATTCAATGTTCTTATTAGTAATGAAACATAGTCCGCTCGTGCCTGTGCCTGAGGGGTCAATAGTTAGGGTTCTCATTTTACTTGGCTGCAATTTGCTCTAAAAACCAGTCCCGAGCCCGATAATCCGTGAATTTCAGCATGTCCTCCTTCAATAACTTTATTCACTTGCCAAGCAGAGTTTTTTTGTCCCGAATAACACAGTTTTTTAGTTTGCTTTTGGCTTGCTCTTCCTGGTTAAAGCAGTAATTAACCAGAGTATTATTAAGCTCTTTGTGGTTCTTGGTAAAATGCATTAAGCAATACCGTTTAAATCTTTTCCTTTCTCCTACTTCACAAAAATAAAAATCTTGGATAGCATGGAGGATTTTATACTTGCCGACCTTGTCTTTGGCTAACATAAATTCATCCCAGTTGCGGGTGGCTGGGTTAATCTTCTCTTCCAAGGCTAACGAGTGAGGGTCCACGGGACCAGGTAATAAGTTCAGGTATAAAAATCATTGCTTGTCTTTACTTCACACTTTCACTCCCTCATTATTGTTCTGCTTGGTTTTCTCTTCGGCTTGTTTTTTCCAAGCAAAAATATCCCCAAAGTTATCACAAAAATAAATGCTGAATAAATACGGGTTAGCCAAGAAAGTTATTTTTAGGTCCTGCTCTTTTCTTTTCAGGCTCTCAATGAAGTCTTTGAGTTTTCATTGCTCTCGGGGTAATATTTCCTGGTCCAAGGGGATAGCCTCCTCATAAACTATCTCACTAAATATAGTCCCTCGGGCTATTTTCCCCCTAGCCTTTCGGAAACTAAACAAATCAAAAAAATATATCCGTCTTTTGCTCCGATAAAAAAGCCCTTGTTCTTGGACCTCGAAGGCATTCGGGCTCAGGCCTTTCTCCTCACAAAACTTATAAACTAGGTCTTGTCAGTAAGGTTTGGAACATTCTAGGCTATCGTGTCAATGCCTCCGTAGTCAAGCATAAAGGGTTCGGTTATTAGTGGTTATGTCCTCCAACCAACTCCAAGCCTTCGTGTCGGTCTTGCCTCTCTTTCTTTCGGTAAGGTAGACATGAAATAGTCCTGGTTGCTGGTAAATTTCGGGTCAATTGATTAATTGGTTATTCATAAAAATTTTTCCTGGGTGTTAACTTCGAAGGAAGGCCGTAGGGGGTCCGAACCAGTTTACTGGAAGGGCTTCCGAAGGCCTAATGAGACATTAGTGCCTTACAGACAGCCAGCCAGCTAACAGTTCGTTCCCTACGTGCCTTGGCTGGCCTTTTTGGTCGGGGAGAAGTCCAAAATATCTTTATTCGTTAACCAAAACTTATACTTAAAAACCAAATTCTTACCCAAAATAGCCGACTTTTGGACTTGGGCTCATTTGGCAGGGGGTAAATCTTCTTGTAAGGCTCGGAACTTCTCTCCCTTGGGTTCTCCTAGTTTGAGCGTGTAAAATACTTGCCCTCTCCTTTTGCCTTCTTTAAATCTCTTTTCTACTATTTCCGAAACCAAACCCAGGCAAGAATAAGTCGTGTTCGATTGTTTGGTTTCGGGAGCATAATAAGCACTAATTTTTTTTACTAGTTCAAAAAGTAGGTTGTGTTGGAGTTCGTTGTTCGGTTCTCCTAATTTTTCGATAAGGTGGTTTTCTATTTCTTCTCGGTTAAATATTTTCTTACTTTCTAATTGCTCTCACAGATTAGTCATAATGAGTGTTTTTATCACCAACGAGAGAGGGAAGGGAAAAAAAAGACCCGAAATAGTTTCCTAATATATTAAAATAATAAATGTAGACAAAAATCGA